AGCTAAAAATGAGTAGAAGTCAAATTTTAAACTCTTTTTAATCAGGTAAAAACAAATGAATATTGACTTAGACACACGAAAGTTTATTTAAAATATTTCCTTAGTAGAAAAATAAATTTATTTCAGTAATTTTTATGGTTTCTAAAGTGACGGTTACTCTCATTTTTGCTTGATAAAAAAAATAATTATTGTAAAATGTTTTAGTTAAATTAACATTTATGTTAAATTGCTATATTTTTTTGGTTCAAATTGATAAGGTTGAATAGACATTTTATTAGAAATTAAACTAAGACAGGGCTCGAATTAACGCAAAAAAATCTAATCGCGAAAAAAAATTTTTTTTTTGCCCTCTCTTTCTTATAACTCGCGCCAATGTGCGGTAATGGGGGAAAAAATTATCATCAATAAATCAAAAAACATCGTCAAAAACTTAATAAAAAATTAGATACCACGTTTTTTATAATTTATTGTTTCTTGAATAAAGGACTAATAAAAGTTTAAATATAATTAAGTTTTTCATCTAAATGGTTGATGTTTTTATTCAATTTTTCTATTTCAAGTTTTCCAATAAAAGATGAAACAAAAAAATTTGGTTTAATAAATCGAATTATACTTCATGTTTAAAATAAGGCTTAAAAACGTTAAAGTAAAAAAATTGCTGGTTTTTATTAGCTTTTTTATACTGTTTGAAAAAAAAAAAACTAATAAAAAAGAATTAACTAATAATATATTAATTAATAATTATTAGAATTAATAATAATAACAATTAATTCTTTTTTATTAGTTTTTTTTTTCAAACAGTATAAAAATGCAAATTAAAGTCAGTAATATTTTTGCTCTAACGTTTTTAAGCCTTATTTTAAACATGAAGTTTTGATAAACAAAGATAAAAACCAACTTTTCAACTTTTCGCTTTAACGACCTTGTAAAAATTTTCCACGCAGAGATTTAAAGTAATTTAAATTCAAAAATGTTTTACGTTGAAAGAAAATCTCCATGCGAAAGAGCAAATCATCTATTCATCTATCTATTCAGAATAATAAATTTTGTGTGACGTTCTTTATGATAAAAACATTACATTTAAGAATTACTAAAAAAAATGCTAAGCTAGAAAAAAAGTAATTAATCAACCAAAAAAAAAACAAGTCGAAAAAACTAATCACAAAAGTGTATGTAGCAATCGCACTTAATACGAGTTCTGTAAGACTTTCTTATAAGTTCTAAACTATTTAAAACTATTACTTAATAACTTTTTTTTAACGACGTCTTTCAACCGAGTGCTATTATACTGTTTTTGCAAAACTAATTAAAAAAACTTGACTATTTAATCACGACTTTTTTTTACTTGAAAATCGAAGTAGATATTCTAAAGTTGTTGTGACGTACTAACGTGATTTTTAACGACTAACACTAACTTTTTTAGTGATTTCGGCAATAGCTTTTTGTTAGCATGCATTTATTATTACAATTTAGTGAAAAAGAAAAAAAACTTACATATTTTTTTTTTATGCTCTTTCATATGAGATCATATGTTAGGAGCACTTAGGGATCCCTTTAATAAATTTAATAAAATTTGTTCATTTATTAAACCAATCATTAGTAGTAATTTGTTACTTAATTTAAAATTGTTTTGCGTAACTTTAATAACGCTTAAAAAGATAAGCTTTAATAACATTTATTTCATACGTAATTAAAAAATTGACAAAAAGTTTTGCTTCGAGTTAAAGTTTTTATTTTCATTTTATTGCTTATATAATTTCTTTTTAGTTATGAATTTGTTTTTCGTTTCTTTTTTTGTTAGGATTTTTTTTTCGTTAGTTTCTTTTTTTTAATTTTTTTCCTAGTTTAAGTTTAGCTTAGCATTTCTACATTCAGAACATTTCTAAAATTTTTAACTCATCAAAACATATAAACAATCATGGTCAAGTTGTCAAAAAATAAAACCATTTGCGTGGTCAGCAATAGCACTTGATCGCACGCCATTCTAGTCCAAGCCCGGAGATGAGGTGTTTGTTAATTAAAGATTCAAAAACTTTGCTTATGATAGGAAGAAGACTAATGGGATGGTAGTTAGATGAGTCAGATCGCTCTCTAGAGTTTTTGAAAATAGGGATAACAGATGCCGCTTTCCAGCATTTCGGAAAACAAGACTCTGATAAGCACTTGTTAAATAGTTTTGAAAGCATGGATGACAGCCCTGGAACACACTTCTGCAAGACTATAACAGGTATGTTGTCTGGACCTCAAGCTGTAGAAGAGTCTAATCAGGAAATCACTTTTGATACAGATGCTGGAGTGATACAAATGTCAAGCAATGGATCAACCTGGGTGATGGCTATATCAGGTAGAACACAACTAGTGGAATCAAGAAATGGTATTGATGGAAAGTTCTTAGCAAACAACTCAGCTTTGTCTTTAGGTGAGGTGACAAAGTCTGAACCATAAAAGAGAGGTGGAATAACAGATTTGTCCTTACTATTGATGCTGTTAAAGTTTCTCCAGAAGTTACGAGAGTCTAATTTTTGTGATGAAATACAAGATTTCATAACCTGAGAATAGCGAGCTTTAACGTTAGACAAAACCTTTTTACAAAGGTTTCTTGCAATAGTAAACAGATGTCTGTTTTCTGAATAATTGTTTTTGCTGATAGATATGGAAGTAACGGTTTTGATTGGAAATTGCAGCAGCACAATGTGAAGAAAACCATGGAAAAGAGTGAAGCTTGACCTGATATTGTCGAGAGGGAATAAAAGATTACATGCCAGCCTGAACCCATGAAGTTATGTAAGAAACACATTTGTCAGCAGGAAAACGAAAGACTTCTACCCAAGGCCCATCACAAAGAAAATCACGAAAAGAGACTCCCAGTCAGTTTTAAGGTAGTTGTAAGAGGTACAATAATAGACAGGTTCTGATGATGAAGAACAATGAGATGATAATTTTAGGGAGATCAAACTGCGATTAAAAGCACCTAAGGGTGAATGTTGAGAAACTGAGCACTGACTAAGATCTGAAACTAGACTTAAGTCAAGTAGAGTAGGTAAATTGGGTTGTCTGGAAAGTGAGTTGGAAAGTTGACTATTTGAGTTAGAGATTGAGAAAGGCAAAAGTTGAGGGCCTTAATGCCAGCAGAGTCACTGAAAATAGAGCCAAGCCATTCACTGTGAATAGCATCAATGTTACTAATAACAACGATATTGGCTGATGAATAAAGAAAGAAGACTTTCTTTGAAAAGGAGAGAAAAGAGACCAGTCTTGAGATGAAGGAGAGCGATATAGAACAAAAAGAAAAGCAATAGAGTGAAATGATGCTAAACGAAAGCACATAAAAGAATAGTCTGTGGGTTCAAACCTAGTTTTCCGACAAATGGATGAATTCTTATGAATGTGAATGCCCAGACCAAGCATGTGACTATTGGAGTCTTTATGAATTAAAGGAAGATAACCATCAACACTAAGATTACAAGATGAGACAGCTGAACTCAAATTTGTCTCACAAAGAGCAAGTAGGTCTGGTAAACTTTGCAAGAATTAAGACTCAACAGAAGAAAAGTTACTTTGAAGACCACGAATATTAGTGAATGATTTAGAGAACTCGGTGATGATGGTTTTTTAATTTTTATAGTTTTTGGTACTTAAGTCATTTTAAATTTGTTAAAAAACTTGACTCAAAGCATAGATAGTACTCAGTACACTATTTAATAGTCCAAGCAATTCCCCCATTACTATTAATAAACCCTAAGCCGTAACAAAGTGCTCCAAATGTGGCCCCAACAATGCACACTAAAAGTACGAACAGGGACACCACCCATGCACAACATGGCACTGTTAGTACTCTAATATTTTTAAGCTGTTGATGGAATCAGCCTTTCTGAGAGCTACCACAGAGTTCGGGAAACCTGGCTACCAGGCAGCCTCAGAACCATAAGACTGAATTTTAGCCTAATAGATAAAGAAGGGGTGTGAGGCTGGTCAACAGATTAAATCTGTTTACCTCTTAAGTCTTTGCTTTGGAGGCCTTCTACTAGACAGTAGCTGGATAAGTTTAACATCTGCCCAAGATGAGTATTTTTATCAAGACATCATCTCTAGCCTTTACTCAACCAAAAGCCCCAAGGCAGAGGGTGTTTTAAATCAGAGTTGATTTCTCTTAGCCTTTGCCTAAAAAAAGTGTAAGAGAAAAATCCTACAAGGCAACAGGACGTGAAGCAGGTTGTACTGGGTTACATCTTACCAGTAGCAGGGTAATCTGGCCTGACAGTAGTACATGTAATTTACTATAATTATGCTCATGTATCATTGTGTGAAAATTTTTTGACATAATTAATTACAATTTTTTCTATAAGAAACCAAAGGATTAGCTTTAGCTACAAGGTTTTTTAACATTGAAGTTGATGCTGGTTGTTGTAATGAATAATGTACCATTCATTTCAATTTCATTTCAAGCAGTAGACAGAGCACTATAGATAGTTTCTTGTTTCTTTCATTAAGCTTCTTACTTAATGAAAAAAATCTATTCAGTTGATTTCCTGTCTTAAGTGTACTTTGTTATGTTTCTGGAAATTATTCTGGATAAGAATAATTTCCAGAAACATATTTTAAAGTTATCTAAAAAATTGATTTCAAAATGTATTTTTTTATTCAAATCTATTTGATTATTTAACATTATTTGATTTTGACACCTAAATTTTTTTACAAAACACATTTAAAAAAAATATATAATAATAATAAAAGAAAATACTACCAAATAGTTACCAGGCTTCCTATTATGATTTATTACATTTTATATGCATTTTATGCAAAATACAATCATCATAATGATTTAATTCTAATTTTTAATGAAAGATAAATATATTTTGATTTTTCATTTTCAAAACTATACAAGTTTCGAAAATGAAAAATCAATACAAGACTTTATGAATTTTAATGATCTGAACTATATGTTCTTTGAAATTTAAAAGCTGCATCATTAATTAAATTTGTAATTAATGTTAGTTTAGGATTATAGCTGTTGGTTATGAAGCCAGAAAGTTTGGTGTCACTCGACAAATGAGGGGTGATGAAGCAAAAGAAAAATGTCCGGATATTCATTTAGTTCCTGTTCCTGAAAATCGTGGAAAAGCAGATTTAACACAATTTCGTGAAGCTGGCGCAGAAGTTATTGAGATCCTTGCAGGTTTCGCTGATTGTCTGGAAAGGGCGAGTGTAGATGAAGCATATATGGATTTAACAGAGTTAATAAACAGGTTTGAACTTTTATTAGCTATTACTTTTTCCATATCTTTTTTCTGTTTCAGTCATTAAGACAATTTATTTATTATAAATTTTTAACATTTTTTAATTTACTATTGTTAGTACTACATAACTTAAAAAATAGTTAAAAATTAAAATACAATTTAAAATAAAGTAAATAAAGTTTGCAATAAAATCTAGGAGGGCCAAGTATGCACAATAAAACATAATTAATTAAAAATTAAAAGTAAAAATATTTATTGAATGATGAGTAACACAAGAATGAATTTTAGTAGATGGCACAAAAGATGCTATTTCTTTAGAGCAGTGCACATAATAGTATTTGTAGAAAAGATAAAGAGAAGCAACATTATGACTATGTGATAATAATTGGAGGTTGGCTGCAAGAGCAGGTCCAACTATGTTTAAAATGTATTTTTGCACCTTGTTTAAAAGAGAATGGGCATCATTAGAAGATCTGCCCCAGATATGGCAATAGTATTCCATACAAGGCCGGATTTGAGATTTATAGAGATAAAGAATAGAATCTGGATTAAGAAAGTGGCAAGTAGGATAAAGAGAGGCAACCTTAGCATATGCTAGTTTTGCAATGGGTTTGATGTATGAGTAAGAGTTAATCCTAGAAGATGAAGGGTAGATGACTCATCAAGTACATTACCATTCATAAATATAGGAAGGTCTAAATTATTGTGATATATGGCTAAGGATTAATCCTTAAAGAACCCCTGAGGTTACAAAATATAAGGGTATGAAAAAGAGTGCTGTCCATCAAAGACAAATTTTATACTACGATTGGAAAGGAAGGATTTAATAATCCTAATGATGTTACCAGATACACCGTAAGAAAGCTTATGGAGAAGACCAGCATGCCAAAATTTATCAAAAGCTTTAGAAATGTCAAGAGCAATGGGCTTAACCTCTCCACCTTTATCTATTGCACGATAAAATCTATTGGTTATTACTGTTAGCAAATCAGCTGTAGAATGAGAAGATCAAAATCCATTTTGATGATCAGAAAGTAAGTTATCAGATTCAAGATGAGAGATTAAGTGTTTGTTAATTAAAGATTCAAAAACATTGCTTATGATAGGAAGAAGACAAATTTTTTAAAATGATAGATGCCGCTTTCCAGCAGGCTGGAAATTAAGACTCTGATAAGCAATTGATAAATAGTTTTGAAAGTGCAGACCACAGCTCCGGAGAACTCTACTGCAAGATTATAACAGGTATGTTGTCTTGATCACAAGCTGTATAAGAGTCTAAGCAGAAATCACTTTAGATACAGAAGCTGGAGTGATATGAATGTCAAACAATGGATCAACCTGTTTGACAGCTATATCAGGTAGAATGAAACTAGTGAAATCAAGAGATGATATTGATTAAAAGTTCTTAGCAAACAATTCAGCTTTGTCTTTAGGTGTGGTGACAAAGTCTGAACCATACAAGAGAAGTGGAATTACAGATTTGCCCTTATTATTGATACTATTAAAGAGCCTAATTTTTGTGATGAAATGCAAGATTTCATGACCTGAGAATAGCGGTTTTGGCTTTGGCGTTAGACAAATACTTGTAATAGTTAATTAAATAAACTTAATAATTAAATAAAAAAACTCTTTTATTAATTTTTCAATACAATATATTGAAGTATATTTCTTCTTGATAACCAGGATTTAGATTCCCTCCAAATAATATTTTGATAAATTAATAAAAGATTAATCCACAGAATAAAGTATATTTTTTTAATTATAAAAAAATAAACTCTTTATGGTGTCATTTAAAGTTTGTAATAATGTTTTTTCATTTTTTTGATAAAAATAATCATTAAAATAAAAAAAACTTATTACAAAATAAAAATAACTTTTTACAAAACAAAAAAAAAGACTTATTGCAAAACTAATTATTGAATATTGTATTGTCATCAAGCAAAAGTATGTATGCAAAATCTGAAGCAAGATTGGATGTTAACAGACCAACAGACAGAGACAAGGAGTTAATAAAAACATTGGCAAAAATATTTAAAAAGCGGAAAAATCTTAAAGAAATGTAAGTAAAATTCTATTCCGGCTTATGTCGCATAGCGCACTAATGGCAAATAGAATAAATCTAATTATATTTACAATGTGTTTTTGAATCTTGTCTAGAAGGGAAAGAGCAGAATTAGCCCGAATATGATTACAGTATTTTATAAAGGGACAAATAAAAGATTTGAAGAGCTAATGCAACTAAGAATAAGAAAATGGTGCACACAATAAAAAGGTTATCATCTTAGCTGATGAGAACTTAGCAATGGATTTTATATATGGTTTTCATGAAAGGTCAGTAGTAAACGAAATGAATGAACCCTGCAGTACCCCAGAAGATACTGGAAAAGAAGAGTATTGCAAAGAAAGCTAAAGTGATTTGGATGTTTAACAGTGGGTTAGTCTGTTTAACAGTAATGGCAGGAAAACTATGACCATTCCATTCGAAAGACAAATTAGTGGAAAAGTTCTTTGTTAATAAAGAGTTAAATTTTAATTAAAAAGTTAATAAAATCAGACCCATGTATTAGAGATAAAATGTTAGACTTACCTTGAGTAACAACACTGATTAAAATTTTCAAATAGTCTCTAAAACCTAACATCTGAGATAAGATATAAGATTTATTAAACTAAAAAAAATGAAGCTTAGTATCAGAAGCACCTTTTTTACATTGATTTTATTGCAATATTAGAAAGTTGCAGAAGAGATGCTCTTGTTGAAAAGATAAAAAGTTATAACAGTTAGATATATCAAATATGGAAGCATATTTTTAGATTTAAATATAGGTATTTTTCCAACTTCTAATTTCACCAGTAAAAAAAGTTTTTTTTAAATAATGCATATTTGATTGTGACTCTTTGCACATAAATCTTAACAAGAAAAAATGTTACCAATGAAGCATGAAATTAGTCTAGTAGATTCAGAAGGCTAATAAACTTTTTTTTTTTTACTTTACTAAATATACTCTTGTAAATGAAATGTAAGCAGTTCTATTGTCATGTATAGCATTTGATAAAAATCTTGCACGATGAAAAGCTATAGGTTTACAAACCTTAAAATTTGGTAGCTAACACTGCCAAATCAAAAAAAGCTCTGCTTTATACTTTTAGTCATCACAAGGAAACTTTTATGTGAACATTCAAGATTTTGGTTTTAATATGTAATAAGAATTTACAACTTTTTGAGTTTTTTAAAAACTGTGCAAAAGTTGTATGCAAAACATTTTAAAAATTTCCCCCTCTTTCTCCATTCAAACCTGTTAAGATTGTAAAATTTATGTCCAACTTAATAGCTTCCCATGAGTTTTGGAATTTTTTGAAAAGATTATCAACTGGTTTATTTAGCATTTTTCTAGATAATGGCAAATTAAGCAAGTAATTAATGCAAGTAATACATTGCTATGGTAACAGCATAATCATATGAATGTAATAAGAATTAAATTATTTTTACATAGAAGCCTTCAAGAAAAACTTGAGTATTTTGGTTAGATAATAATGATTCAATAAATTTAAAAAGTTTCATAGATTCACCGTAATAAGCGTTAAATGTTAGCCTTAGTCCTGCTTAATAATTCAAAGTCATAACATAAAGATTCTATATGTGGCCTTGACAATGCACATCAAAAGCACTAAAATGGATACTATCTATGTGCAAAATGGCACTTTTAGTACTCTATTATTTTTATAGCTGCTGATTGAATAATTTTAAACTTTTAGAACCATTAAACTGATAATTGGAGCTGTTCTCAGATCAGAAAATAACATGAACAGTTGCATAACCACTAATAAGGAGACACAAGATAAAATTTATGAAAAGAGACAAGAAGAGCTAGTATTCCTTATACTAGGCATGAGAAAATGTAGTATAGATTTACATTTACATCTGCTTTTAGATGAAGAAAGGGTACAGGGCTAATTACCCCTAAAGTTGTTGCTTAGGAAGCCTTCTACAAGACAGCCTTTTAATCAGTAGAAGTTAACATCTGCCCAAAGTGAGTATTTTTACTGAGACTCAATTAAAAGCCTTAAGGCATAATTATATTAAGTAATAGTTAACTTCTTCTTGTCTTTTTCTGGATAGGCGAATCCTACAAGGCAGCAGGACTTTGTCCAAGTTGTATCACGTGTTGCTAGTAGCATGGTAATCATGATAATTTAAATCCAACTCCTTGTAACTTTTCAGAAAACAACTGATTGTACATCGGCTTCATTCCCTGATTTTATTTTAATGACATGTAAACTTACTGTTGTCTTTAATGTCTACTTGGCCTTTTTTTATTTCTAATGTCTTTTGTTGAATCTTAAAATGTTTATTTTATTTGAAAGTTGCACAGCAAAATGTGCGCTGAGAAGCAAACTGGTAACTTTCTAAAATGTGCTGTCTACCCAGTTAACACAAGATGTATTTTTTATATTTTTTTAAACATAATTAACGTGTTTAAAAAAAGTTTTTAATATGTTTTTTAGACATCTTAAATATGTCTTGTGTTAATTGAGTACATGTAAAATTATTATGGGATAGACACAGTAAGGAGACATATTGACTGATTTACTTTATATGATCATTTAGAGACTTTTGTAATTATGACATCGAAGAAGTAGCCTTGCACACATTTCAAAATACAAATATAGTTGGTATAGACAATATGGTAACAGGCCTTACTGATACTCAAGATATTTTAAAGTGTGATCTTTATAAGCAGTGGCATGAAGTATTACATCGTAGCGAAGAAAACCTGAAGTTAGCAATTGGTGCAACTATTGCTGACAAAATGAGAAAAGAAGTTAAAGAAAAACTTGGGTTTACTTGTTCTGCAGGTATAGGACAGAATAAGGTAATGATTATTTTATATTTTAATATTATTATAAAATAGTAGTACTGTTTAGTTATTATTTTTTTGAATGTTTTCAAAATGGCAGTAAATACTGTTACACTAAGTTTTTTGAATGTTTTCAAAATGGCAGTAAATACTGTTACACTAATTTTTTTGAATGTGTGTTTTCAAAATGGCAGTAAATACTGTTACACTAATTTTTGATTAGTTGCTAAACTATAAAAACCTAATATTTAAAATTTTAAATAAATTTAACTCATTTGTTAATAATTTTTTTTATTGAACGTTAAACTTTATTTCATTTTAATTGTCATTTATTTTATTTAGTAGTTATTTACTACATACAATTGTTATTTATTACATTGAATTGTTATTTATTACATTGTTATTTATTATACTTAATTGTGATTTATTGTTGTTAATTGTTTAGTTGTTATTGCGTTTGAGTTTTTTATTGAGTTTTAGTACAAGTTTTATCTATAAGTTGGTACATGATACAAACATTATAAACATTATATATTAGATATGCAGATAATGTTTAAAATCCTTCTCTAAATATTTTTCATTTTTTTACCAGATCTATATATAATGTCATTTACAAATGTTTAAAAGTATGTGAAATTTAAAATCAAAAATTTTAGTAAATTTTTGATTTTAAATTTCAAAAAAAGATATCAATACCATTTTACTTACTGTAATGTTTTACTCAATAAAATGGTATTGATATCTTTTTTTGAAATTTAATTATCTGATAAGATTTTTATAATTTTTCTTATTTTAATAAAGAAAGATCAGTTAGCTTCAAAATACAAAATAAATTATCAAAATTATTAATTATGAAAACAATTTATCAGAAGAAAAAAACAAAGTTTATTTATCAAACTTTATCAAAAGAATGTTTTGTTTAACTGGAAGCAAAACTTTTCAGCTCTTATGAAGCTTTTACACGTACACAATAGCCACTTTGTTGGCTAGTTTATTTTTACTCAAAAAACTAGTTTACCAAGTTTTACTTGCTAATATGTTTAAAAAATGCTTGCTTTTAATTTCCTAATATATAAACACTGCTTCAAATATATTAGTACGTTGCTTGCTAATATATTTGAAGCATTTATAAAGGTAAAATAAACTATTGATATAATAAGAAAGTAAATTATTTAAAGAACTAAAATGATAATTTATGCAATAATTATTTTGAAAATTAAAATTAAATAATCAAAGATTTAGAAATATATATTAACATATATACAAAGATTTAGTAGTTACTACAATAAAAGATTATTCTTGAAGTAAGCTAATATATTTAAAGCAAATCTCAAACTGAGTATTCTGCATCATAAGTGCCAGAATCTTTGCCTGTACCACCAGTACCAGAATCTAGACCAACAACACCTAGTATCAGAGTGTAGTATACTGTTAGTTTTTTCAATTTGTCTGCAAGCAACCTTCAATTAAAAAAAGATTAAAAACAATTTTTATTAGCCCAATCACTTGCAAAACAGAAAAGAAAAAAAAAATTCAATGTCCCAAGATTCAAAGAAGTTCAAATACCCAAAAATGTGAAAAATGCTGACAGCAAAAAAGCAGCAAAGCAAGCTAGAAAATAGTGTAAGCTTAAATTTGATCATGAGCAGCAAATAAATCAAGCAACCACAGCAACCACAGCAACTTTTTTTATATTTGACTTGGTTTAAACCAAGTCAAATATAAAAAAAAATAAAAAAATTTCGGCTGAAGCATCAACAACTCAACATAATGAATGGTATTGTTGTGAAAATTAAAAATTTAAGGTTCGGTTTAGATGTTAAACATGCATGCTAAAGTGAAAAATGTGCACCAGTTACAGCTCAACCTTTTATTCTTTAATTGTTATCTTTTTTGCTTGCTTCTTTTTAATTTGAGAGTGTTCTGTTCTTTCCATTACCTAAAGATATATATACATTAAATTCTCCCCAAATAAAAGTGCATAATGAAATTTTATCCTTACATTTTTTTTTAATGAAAAATGATTTCTTAAAAAACTAAAAAAAAGTTTTCTTTGTTTTTTATTTAAATAGAGCCTAATATTCTCTACATATTAAAAAAAAGAAAATTATGAATCTTTTTCCTTTAAAAAAATTTAGGAAAAACGTTCAACTTCTTCATTTGACCTCACATTAATCTATATACCAAGTTTTACTCTATATACAGAATCATGAAAAAATTTATTTTGATGTCTATTTCAGTTGGAGTATTGCTTAAAATAAAATCAAGTCTTATAGTTTCAATCTTGTTTAAAGTTTTGTGAATAGTATTATATATTTACACTGGTCTGTATTTTATATTTAAACTGGTTGTAATATATATTTATTTGGTCTGTATTTTATTGGAATCTAGTAGTTATTTATTATTAAATATTGAAAACATGAGTTGTAATTTTTTTTTAATTTCAGATGCTTGCAAAAATTGTTGCTGGATTTCATAAGCCTGATCAGCAGACTCTAGTTCTTCCTGATAATGTTGCTGAAATGTTCCAGTCTACTAAAATGAGAAAAATGTATGTTGAAACATTTATATAAATTTGTAAAAATAATAAGTGCTTAATTTAAAAAGGATTGTTTCACTACAATCTCCATTAGTAAATTTGTAACTGTTTTATATACTAATGTTTTGCTGTTGTAGCATGCAAGTAAATTTGTCTTACTGTAAGACAATGTTAAATACAAGGGTAAGTAAGTTAATTTGCCTTTATTTTTTATTAAATTTTGTCACCATAAAACATGTCTTTTTGTAGCAATTCTATTTCCATTTTGAAAGAAGTTGTTGAAATTAATGAAAGTTAATTACAGTGAGTAAAATGGAATTGATATCTTTAAATATCTTACAGTTGCGCACCATTATTCTTGTTTTACATAGATTAAAATGGTATTAATATCTTAAAGTATCTTACCGTTGCACACCATTTATCTTGTTTTATCTGCACAAATATTATACAATTTTAGAATTAAAGGGAAATAACAGTAAATAAAAAACAAAACACTCTTAATGTAATGCTGCAGTAAATTCTATAGTGAAATCTTGTCTATAAAGCTGCATATTCAAAACTGATCATACCTTACTATTTATTTATCAGAGTGGCCAGCTGTCACCTGAAAAATCTAGAAAACCTGGAAAAGTCAGGGTATTTTTAAACTTAAAAAATCAGGTAATATATTAAAAAGTCATGGAAAAGTCAGTCAATAACAACTATGTTATTGACGTATCTATTTCATATTTTACTTTAATAGAAAACATGTATAAAATTACATTAGTTACATCAGTAACACAAAATCTTTGTAAAATAAATTGCAATAAATGAGATTTTTTTTCTTCTTGATTATGTTTCTACCATACTTCAAAAAACTCCATTTTTGAAAAAGAGCGCATATGATCTGAAAATAATTAAATTTCTGAAAAATGTGGATGTGGTGAATAATTTTACATTGTTATACAGCTTAGGCCTTTAGTTACTTTTAAAAATTAGAAACATGTGCATACAAAAAGTTGTATAAGTTGAAAAATTAAAAATAAAAAAAGACTTTACAGTTTTTCAAACCATATTCTAATGCAAATTGGTTCTCTTTTAAATAAAATAATTACTGTTACTAAATAGTACTTACCCACAAAGAAAAAATATAAAACCATACAGTTTTAAATCGTCCATGGAATCAAAACTGGTAAACAAATACTTAAACCCAAATTAGAGCCAAACCTTTATTTAAAAAGATATTAGTAAAACTCAGTTAAAATAATATATATTTTTTAGTTTTTTTAACTATGAAAAGAAAACTTTCAAAAAATAAAAACATTTCAGAGGAATGCTTTTTATTTCAATTAAAAAAAAAAAAAATGTTATTAATATAAGCAGTTTACTTAAAACGTTTAACTCTTTATTAAAAAAAAAAAAGATCTTTACATTTTCTTGAAATAAAATGAGATACTTCATAATCAAATACCAAGAAAATAGTAACTTAAGGATTCTAAAAAAAGCACCAAAAGCAACAGTACCAATGTTTAGTATTTAAAATAGTGTATACGAATATTGTAATGTAAAATGATAAGCATTTCTGCTGTTTCCAGAGCCAACCTATTTCGTTATTGAGAATAAATTTTTCCTCAACTGAACAATCGTTTACTTTCAACAGAAGATGGAGGGCATGATAAAATAAAACAGCACGAAATTATTCTAAAAGTAAAGTGATAATAAAAGTACATTCAGCTGTTAAGTTAAAACTTATGAACATTATCTTTAGAATAAACAAATTTGCCTATAATCAGAATCAATATAAACAATTTCTCAGAAAAAATTCTTAGTTATTTATAAAGTTTAGTTGATTTAATTATTATCATTATGCAGGATAAAAATATTAAAATGTCATCTAGACTGTTACAAACTTGTTTTAATATTAATACATCTTAAAATACCTATTTATAAGGTTTTGTGAATGTAATTCATATTTTTATATTTTTAAAACATGAAAAATATTGATATTTATTCATATATAATACAAGAAAACTTAGAGGTTAGCTAATCCTAATATTTTGGGTTCAGTTGTAAATGGCATAAACTTAGTTGCAATTAATGTTTTGTCTAGTTTTATAAAGGATCTTTGACAAAAGTGGTTCATTGCGAACAGTCTAAAATTCAACTTGAAGAGAATAACAATGTCTATAAAATAAACCTATATCAGTTCAGCTTGTAATTGATAATAAGAATATTCTACTAACTGTTTCAATTAATAAAGATAACTCTGCTCTTATCCAACTGCAGTATCTGGCAGACCCCAGACCTCCAGGTAAATTTTGATGCTTCAAGTAGTAGAACAAAGAAAAGAAGATTGGTGTCATTAGTTACATCTTTTTCAACTTCAGATCTATTGTTTGCATTAGGTTTTAGTTTGCGCCAAGATGGAAAGAAAAAGGAAATATAGTTCTAATTTATAATAATGGAAATATAATTCTAATTTATAACTTTTATGTTTAAAGAAACTTAATCTAGGAACTATGCAAAATGAACCATTGCATATATATGTATAAATACATATTTATATGTATATATATATATATATATATATATATATATATATATATATATATATATATATATATATATATATATATATATATATATATATATATATATTAGTGCTCTAATGTTTAGCACGCAGCAGAATCAATAAAATTATTTTTCTTTAGAACGTAAAAAACAGGAAAAAAGATTAAAATTTTTAGTTATTTTAAACAAAAACTTTTTTTCTAGGATATTTAGAACATATAAAGAGAAAAATAATATAAAAACTATGAAAAATATATATTAATTTATTGGAAGAAATTAATCATATATAAAATAAATAAAAGCTGCTTTAGTTTAGCACACTTGGTTTTGAAATTGTTCTTAGGTCAAACCTTAATAAGGAATGTGACCACCTCTATTTTTTATGCATAATGAAAATCTTCTTATTTAATCAAAAAGTTTACGACAATATTCAACTGTCAACTTTTTTATTTATTTTCAGATTTTTAGCTGATGTTACTGGTTCTTTGGTAAGTTTTCAGTCCAACACAGTGCAAACATTTTCAATTAGATTCAGATCAGGTGATCTAGCTCCCCACTGAAGTACCTTGATATTGTTTTGCTCAAACCATTCTGTTACAGATTTTGCTTTATAGCATGGAATATTGTCTTGTTGAAATATCCACTCTGGCTCGTTACCAAAAAAAATGTCTTTGGTAGGCATTAAATAGTTTTCAAGGATGTCGATGTATCAATGCTGGTCCATTCGAGCACTGTAGTACGTGTGTAGACCTGGGCCATCATATGTGATGCAGCCCCAAATACCAACTGCACCATCTCCACCTTGTGGTATAGGTACAATATAGCAACTATTATACTTTTCGTTGTGGTGCCTATGGACAAGTACTTTGTTTTTATGATTTAGGATAGTGTAGTTAGATTCATCACTTAAAACAATTTTTCTTA